AGATTTTCTATGACCTCTTCATCTTGTTACCGTAATTTCTGGCCACCCTGCAGAGAACGACATCATTGAAGAAGTCATTGAAGACATCGGAGCGCTACTGCCCCGACAAAACCAACACAGAAGGCGATGAACTCTTCCTTAATGTAAAGCTGTCTCAAAAACAACAGATGACCAAAAGAGAACTTGTGAGTGCAGTCCACAAAATACGATCCTCTCGGACTGGCACTACCCTTGACCCTCAAAGCAAAACTGCTGATGAGAGAGACAGCTATGCTAAAAATAGCTTGGGGAAAACCTCTTAATACGAAAACATCAACAGGTGGAATGAAGTTTGCACGGAAATTTCCGGCGCTTCTATCAGAGTGCCGCGCAATATCGGCCTAACACTTCATGACGGAAAAGGTTCAACACTATGGGTATTCGGTGATGCAAGTCAGCTGGCAATATCCTGCTGCAGCTACGTTACTCACCCACCCAGCAATCAAACAAAGGGCTTATTGTGCGCAAAAACACGGCTCGCTCCAAAAGAAAGACAATCAAGCATCCCAAGGCTCGAACTTCTTGCCATTCTTGATCTCTTTGCGGTTAGCAAGAGGTATACTTCGATCGTATCAAAGTCGCATAACTAAGGTTTATATTGTGAATGATAGCAAAATAGCATTAGCCTGGACACAAACCTCAAGAAGGCTTCCTCTTTTCGTAGCTAATCAGGTGGACAGAATCAAAAAGCTTCACCATTCTATCCAAGAACTCGGAATATCATTACAATTGAGCTACATTGAGTCCGAAAATAATCCCGCTGATATCGCGACTCGGCCTGTAGCTAAAGGACAGTTCAAGGCTAGCGAATTGGCTCTCAGGTCCTCAATGGTTTAAATTACAACCAAATGATTGGCCAACTGCTGGGAGCTAAATGCGAGCGACCAACTCAGCGCTGCAGCAACATGCGCACCCACGGTCAAAGCACCACCACAAAGAACCTCACGCCATTATCGACACCTCGCGCTTCCGATACTACTCACGAGCCTTGTGCACACTGGCGCGCGCAATGAAAGCACTGTCATGCTGGATTGCGAGAGTCAACGCGCGAAACAACAGAACCATCGCGCTTCCGCTAATACGGCGCTTCCTTCCAGACAATGAAATTACGTCCAGTGAGCTGAAGGCCGCGGAAACAATTGATTCTACTTGAACAAATAAGTGACATTGATATAAACGAACTCCGCTCAAGGTACAAAGACAAAAACCTGTTCCTAGACGAAAACGGGCTAATTAGAGCCAATTCACGGCTTACTAACGCAGCGTTACCGCGCGACACGAAAGGAACCAATTTTCATCCCAAAGAGTCTGATCTCATACGTCTCATTGTCAATGAACTACACGAGACCAACATGCACTGCGGTCGACAGCATACTCTGTCGCTCCTCAGAATGCGATTCTGGATCCCCAAGCCATCATCCAGAATTCGGAAAATCCTTAGTCAGTGCACAGTATGCAAAAGGAGAACAAGGTTTGCCCTTCGCATACCCAGAGATGGCTGAGCTCGAGAAGACCGTGTGGTCCAATCAAAGCCCTTCCAACACGTTGGCTGCGACTACGTAGGTCCCTTCAACAGCGACATTAACGAGAAGATGTACATTGCTTTGTACACGTGTCTGTCGACAAGAGCAGTACATCTAGAACCCGTTGAAAGTCTTTCTGCTTCCGCATTCCTAGACAGTTTCCTTCGCTTCATTAGCCGAAGAGGCGTTCATGCATAATGCGATCTGTGGAAGCAACTTTGTTCTTGGTGCCAAGGTATTAGATCTCCTCTTCCAGAAGGATAACGAAGGACGTTCAGTCATGGCCTATTCGGCAACTAATAACATCAAGTGGATTTTCAATCCTCCCGCAGCACCGTGGATGGGAGGAGTTTGGGAAAGAATCGTGGGAACGGTCAAAAATGCCTCTCCAAGACCGATAGGACGCAAGAAAGCTGTCTTTCACAAAAGTTTGCAACAGTTCTGGCTTGCATTGAGGCGGTTGTGAACACACGGCCGCTGACAAAGGTAGATCCCGATGACTTGAAATGCTTACCTTTGCGCTCAGTAGACTTTCTCCAAGGGAATATCAAATTTGCGCTCCCTGAAAACAAGACGAGCTAAACGATCCCTCCTACGAGGAAGCCACTATCGCTACAATGGAACAAGGCCAAAGAAGCGATAGACTTTGCTGAGAAAATGGCGAACCACTTCTGGAATAGATGGCAAAACGAGTATTTAACAGAGCTACGAGACATTCATAAAGCGCTCATGAAGCAAGGAAGACATACTTCACGCAAGGTTCCCGAGGTAGGAGAAATAGTCCTCATACAACAAGACGGACTAGTCCCACGTAGCAACTGGCCACTCGGTCGCGTAACCGACCTAGTGCAGAGCACTGACGGATTAATTCGTTCGGCGAAAGTACTAACTCCTTCAGGAAACATCTGCCATCGCCCAATAACGAAGCTGATACCGCTCGAAATTCGTAGTGCGATTCGTGAATCCCAGCCTGCACGATCGCAACCGAACGACACCAGCAAACCTCAAATAGAACGAAGAGCTCCGCTTCCGAGAAAGGCTAAACAAAAAGTCAAATACTTTGACACTGAGCATGACCCAGAGGAGTCATCGTATACGAATCACTCAACGACCTGCTCCTTTTCCAGGATGATTCTTCATCCCATCCTTCTATTAGGTTGTCCGCAAATGAATGCCGGTTTCGATGTATCATACTTTATTGAGCATTTTTCCGAGAAATTTTCTACGATTGCTGTACTGTTGCATATCGTTGGAAAGCCCATTTCATTCTCTTTCTTACACGGCCTGTTGTATTTTGAAAGGACTCGGGCCTCACTTTTTTCAAAGGTTTGAAGTGAAGCGTCAAAGCAGTGGTTTGAGCAGGTTCACTTCTATGAGTTGAAATTTGGAAGAGGGTGCTGTGCAGACAGCTCGGAATAGGATTGTCGTGTGGGGCTAGGAATGCTACAATAAATGCACACTGCACCAATGGCTCCAAAGCTTTCAAGTGTAGGGAACCCTAGATTCGAAGTGAGGGAGGTTACGGACGACATTCTCCTCTTGACGGCGGCCTTCTGAAGACCCGGCAGAAGAAGATTTCCAAACAAGTGTACGGCAGCCAGCAGCATAACCTTGAGCAAGCATACTGAAATTTTCGGAGCGCCTGAAGGTACTTGGGAAGGTAAGAAAGCTGGACAAGTGGGTACCGCATGAGCTGACAAAGCGGCAGCGTAATCACCCTCCAGGGATCTTGTCACAACTCTTTTTACTCAATAAAAATAAAATTAATGGCTTTGTATATGCAATAATAATGAATTATTATTGTAATAAACTAAACTTAATGCAATTAATAACTTAATAAACTTAATAATAAAATATTATAAACATTCAATAAAAATATCCGGCTTCAGAATATTGGTCAACTCGACGGAAATAGAACCCTTTGCTAAAGAACCAAGCGATTTCCTAAAAATCTTGCAGCTACGAGACATCAAAAACTTTTCCAAAGTAGAATTTCTACAAGGTGAGGACCATGCTGATGGTTTCGTGGCCTTCCGGAGTAATGATGCATCGCAGCTTTCTGAACCCAGGTGATTTTGAGATAGAGTACCAATGTCTGTCCATAACATCGACGTGATGCACCGTAAAGAGCAAGGCCTCTAACCAGAAGAAGGAAAAGAACCGTTCTCCATGTTGACGCCCAGCCACATGTCGCACAAACGACTTCGTAAAGAAAAGGACGAATCAACCTATCCAGCTTTGCTTTCACAGTGCACTCACAGGATCTCACCCTCACCAACTCCAGTTTTTCAGCCATCTCGACAGCTTCTTGGGCAGAAAAAGATTTGAAAACAGAGACATGGTGGAAAATGACCTTCGCCGATATTGCGCTTCTACGGTTCCTATATTCAGAGTTCGTGCATTAAGTTCAGTACGCTTCCTTGTTAAGAAAGATGCGTAGTTTCCAACACTTTTTTGAATTACTGAAAATGTTGAGTTTGAGCTGAGATATATTGCTTTGAAGACGGAGGTCAAAAACCGGCATTCATTTCCGGACAACCTAATACTATCATTTCTCCCCACCCTATCTGCTGTACTAATCTTCTGCGAGAACGGAACGCTCACCGTTTCCCCTTCCTCAAAGTTCTACACTCTGTGCTTCAACAAGGCATGTAAGCACATAACTAGAAAGCAGACATCAACATTTGTGCTACCACCGTCTGCACATGAAGAATCATGAATGTTACCCTGATAAGCCATATGCCAGGACGCAATATTAGAGAGAGTCTGGTATGTGCTCGGCAACCCTTCTGTGCCGACAAGACACTTTTCACCACATCACTTTTGGGAAACCCTCACTGTTGGCCTGAGGGCGCTATCATAACAGCAATATCTTTTGCAACAGTGATATTAGTAGCGATACTCCTCCTTCGGCGTTTTTATCAAAAACAGCCGGCTCAAGCTCAGGCCAACGATGGGCACATTCCGTACGATAAGGGAGACAAACAAAGACATCGAAACTTCATTCACTCTCAGAAATTTGAAGCCCCCACTCCTTGTTACTGTCACGCTAATAATGCTTACAGTATGTCCTGTTCCATCTCTTTCTTGAAAGCACTTTCATACACACTACAACAACGGAACGAGTATGCAACGAAACAAACATATGCACCCTCGAGTATGAACAAAAACCTCAAGAAAGCTTCATAAAGAAGGCTTGCGTCATGTTGCGCTACCGAAACCACACAGTAGGACAAACTCAAATTCACCTTCCAAAGAGCACGCCAAATTTGCAACAAACAGACGCTGTTCTATGTATACACGAGACACTTCAGCGAAAGTGTTCTACGAAAAACGATGTCCCTTCATGGGTTCATGTCAAGGTAGCAAGTGTAGAACGTTGCAGCAAAATGAAAGTATTCCGGAACTATATGAGGCTGAAAATTCCCTGGCTATTCCATGTGCAGTTCCACTTGTGCAGGTCTAGCTTGTGGTTGCCTAACACCATTTCCAGGCTGCCTATTCTATAGAGTTGCGCAAGTGCCGAAGAATGAGGCAATATACCACATATTCAAGTGCGCCTCGTGGAATCCTGAAATCCACATTTTGCTCGAAACAACCCTCACTGGAACCACAACGAGCAATCCTCTTGCAGCTCCACCCATACGTGTCAAAGAATAATAGATGGATGGGACGTCAAGGTAACATCACTGCAACATATCATACATGCCGCTCTAAGTAAGCGCTTCGCAGAATCCGCAGCGGGATTCAAAATGCTAGGCGATGCATTCAAAATCGCCGTCGAATGTCCAGATGAGAACACTGCTAGAAAACACTTCGCCAATTGTTCAAATGAGGTGGTTTGCTCGTGTAGTCACACAATGGCGGCCGCACAATGCGTCTGCCCTCAAAACAGTTTTCAGGAACCGCAGAACTCCACCACCAACTTGCCAGCCATAGAGCCTCACCTAAACATTACTGCTTCGGAAACAGTGATGATTGACACAGACGATACCGAGGTAACATTACTCGTTACGTCAAAAAACCAATTCCAAATGGGCACAGGTGGTGGTAGATCCTCCCTGCTCCATGCATGCAACAAGCATAACAGGGTGCTACGACTGCTCGGAAGGAGCAAAAGCCACAGTGTACTGTCGCTCGGATTCATCCAGCGAATAACACTGGAATGCACAGACCAAACATTCCTCATCAACTGCTCAAAGCAGACACGGCAACAGACATTAGTCCTTTTCTTGGCACGATAACTAAGCACTGGAAAACAACTGCAGCAGTTATCGGCGGTCTTGCAGTAATCGGTCTACTCATATACGTCTTCGGACCCTCTATAATAATCGCCATAATCCGTATACTCACCAATATCATCCTTGCACTCCCACGGTCCCTCTTGGAGTGCACCACTAGTTTTCTCTCCCTTTTGCTTCTTCGTCTTACTCTTAATTTGCTGAAGTTGACATTCAAGAGACTAAAAACAAGATATTCCATCTCGAGAATAAGATCGACACTATTCTCACCAATACTACTCCTCGTCATCCATGTATTTTCTGTGAAGGTGACAATGAAGACGGTCACCGCTCTTCTGCTTGCTCTGTATTCCCTGATCCAATTGCTAGATCGTTTCGTCTACGAGATCTCAATAGATGCATCTCGTGCCTTGCTCCCGCTCATGGCCAATGCTCGAACAAATGTCGTGGTTGCGGAGGAACTCATCATGCTATTCTCTGCACCGAGCGGTCAAAGCAAGGGCCGCCGCAGAAGCGACAAAGGCTCGAACACTAATTGGTTCTCCTTTATTTCAGGTTTACTTCCACAAAATTTCGCTGCTGACTGTTGTATTAATGGTAGTTTTGATTTTGAACTCTCCTTAAAATTGTGATCTACAATTTAACAATACACTTTCCTAAGTCTCCTTTACATCATCCTTTGTACATTTATTCCCCAAATTTACACAGCAATATTCCATTTTGTTGTATTCCGCAATACTGTACTCGCGTATACTGTACTCATGAAATTGTATTCCTCATGCAGTGTTTATTGCAGAAATTTAATCGCCTACTTACTACATTTGTACTTCACTTCAATATTGTAAAACGCGAAATTACACCCCTCACCTCTAATAAACCCTCTGTCGAGTGGAACCGCTTTTGAAATCCTACTAGTCCTAATTCTTCGGCAAGATCCCTCTACTACGTCGTATATTTACTCCACATTGCTTCCTCAGCACAGCCCGTGGCTTGCTGCTACTCCATAATTTACTACATCAACTAATAAGGGGATCCGAAGATGGACTATAACGTTTTTCAGCTGCGGCGCACTTGACACTCCAATACAATTACAAAAGTGAGTATTATTTCGCGTGCCTATGCTTTTGATATTTATGTATTGCTTGCCGTAGTTACATGTAATACTCCATATGTTACTTTTTTTCGAGTGTGCCCCGGGAATGTTGCGGTATGCACTTGCACCCGCAACGTCCTTCTTGTTTTGGTCACCGCCTGTCAGTGGGAGTGGCTTTCCCTCGCTCGGACCGGCAGTTAGGAGTCTCACCGACAGCTGGAGCGCCGTCCACGAGGGCTGATCCCGCTGACAAGCGAACCGATCGGTCTGTACTGTAATTCCATTTTATCCTTTGTAACCGTTTGACAAAATAAAAATTATTACTCAACTGAGTTTGTTGAGAAGAAAGAAAGGGCCGTGACAGCCGCTACCTCCGAGTTTTTGTGTCATACGCAATCCAAAGCAATGAATGAGGTGAATGACAGATAAGACGTCCCGTGGAAGGAATGGGCTATTGCAAACTTTCATTCTATCTATCTAATAGGTTCTCGACAAAGTTTTTGCGCATTTTCGTCTTCATATTGTATACCCTTATGAGATCATTTTGTAGGTATGAGAGCAGTGTCAGTGCTCTCTCCAGAGCTTCTGTCACAGCATTTCACAGTGCTTGGAGTTAAAAAATCGGCTTCCTCTGAAAATGTGTAGGACGGCTCTTGCTTTTGTTTGCCTACTAAGTACGTCGATTGAAGCGGCGTAGCAAGAGGCCTACATGTTGCAGTGGAACTCCAGCCTATCTTTCACAACATGTCAACTATTTGATCACCGATGCCAATATACTTGAGAAAGAACAGCAGTTCTCTTGTCGGCCTTTTACACTATATAAGGAGTGTATTCTGAAGTCATTTAGAAAGAGTCCACGGTGGGAGCTTTTCGACTGTTACCAGCGCACAATGGCCGCTCCTAAATATAGCCTCGGAAAGAAGTAAAATCATAGCGGGAGAATATTTCGTGATCTGTTTAAGCACCACCTTTTAAGAAGAAGAACTTTTGCATGAGCACTTCGATGAAGCGTCTGTACACTCTTAACCCGCTCTTCATTGGTGGTGACAGGAAGTGGGATCCTCAGATAAAGCACACGCGAAAGTAAGGCTTGCATGGACGCGTACAATTAAGAATCGCAACGTTGATTCCAGAATAGGGAGCTGCTGCCAACGAGTTGTAGCAGCTCCCCATTCAGTTCATTGGTGAACTATAGCAAGTGGATTGGCTCCCTGCCATGGTGCTTGGAAAATCTGGCAAAGTTTACTTTATCTCGGCAACGCTCGCCCACGAACCACCTAGCACAGGCAAACTACCATAAGCCTCTTCCCCGTCGAATCAACCAAAAGAGGGGTAGTTTCATGATTCAGACTTACTCAAAAAGGACCTCTTCAGGATCTTCGCCGTGCAAGCTCAAGGCAACCAGAAGTTACTGCCGGAGAGCAATGTTTCGACGATTATGGTTGTGCATATGTTTGTCAGCCGCTTCCAAGAAGAAAAATAATTCCGAAAAAAATTGACAACTGCGCTAGGACTTTTCCGAAAACCTAATATTATAAAAAATTTCCGCCAGCAATTCTCACGTACACCTCCGTTTCAGGATCTTGAAATATTTGAAGATACTCATGTGAATGAAATAGAAGAAGGGTGGGTCTGTTGTCCGACGGGAGAACTCTGCTGACCAAATTGGGGAGAAGCTCATTTAGGGAAGAAATGGCATTGAGTTTAGAGGGAGCGAAATTTAGATGACCTCTTACCCATCCCTGTTAATGAACGCTGGGGAGAAGATTTGAAAAATTATTTCTCATTTCAATCCAACAATCTAATATTTTACCTCTCCATTTATTTTATCCTTTGGTACCTGGCAACATATATTTGAACAAAACACTACACTACGCACTATCAGATAGGAAAACAAAATGCAACCTCTGTCCTACGTGTAATAAACATGCTGCGCATGAACTTTTGCTCCGCATAGGATGCATATATAGACTTCCATAATGAACATTTGTGCGTTGTCGTTTAGTTATCGGTGATGATCCGCATTTATGAATCTCCTGAGAGACTCAATGAAACTTCTTCTGAAGATACGCCTATGCCTCCATACGGCCAATTTGAACGGAAGAGCAGTTGTAGTATAAAGTGTCTCGGGGCGATGCCAAGTAAATGTCTAATAGAGTGCCTTATACGACGAAACTTTTGCTGACATTGGGTCTCTGACATTTCCTCTTCTAAGTACTCAAGGTTTCAAAGAAGCATGATTCCTGCTCTTACACGAAATTGCCTAGTGCACAGTAAGAACAGTGGCGACTACTCTGCTCTTTCGAGTTAGCCGCTCCCAATGATTTGCTTGGGAGACGCTCCAGAAGCGCATTGGGGAGGAATAGCATACGACTTTTGGCCGCCTCCCCCTACTCGAAAGAGTAGCACACGGCCCCAAAGCTCTCAAACAGTTAACAAAGTGAGACTCTTCGAGAGAGCACGATCTGACATACTTACTGCGCGTGCCATCGTTTTTCGTCACAAACACAGGAAGCTGGCGCCGATAGAGGGCTTTCTTTGAGACCAAACAAGGAAGTGGGCAGGGGCCAGGGTAAAAGAAAAAGCGCGCACGCACTCTGGAGTCCTCCACCTCCCTCTCCTATGGCTTGCTCGACCCTAACGAAAACAACTGTTTGACGTGCTTTTTCTTACCAGCATTGACTACGCAATGCCCTCTCACCTTGCAATAGAGTCGTACGAGGTAACCACAGATTTATGGGTGATATCTTCTGTAAGCTCTCTACAAGGTTGTTAAGCAGACTTTATTGGCTTACGTTTCAGTGGGGTAGCCTCCTCTAGAGCCTGAAAGGATGAGAGATATCATGAATGGAATTTTGCCTTTGAGGAAATTATCACCGGGTCTGTCGCCGGGCCGCCATTTCTTGCTCTGTGGGAGGTCGGAAGGGTTTCCCGTAGCCATTGAGCTCAGCTATTTCACGCGCAATCGCCAGTGATTCCTTGCGCTCATCCTCTCCAGTGCAAACTCTAGCCGCTGTTCGGAACATGTTCCTTACAACAGCTCGCTTGGTCTGTGAAGGGTGGGCTGACTGACAGTGAACGATGATGTTCTTGTTGCTGGGCTTCCTGTACCATTTCGTAGAAAGCATGCCACCCTGCAATTTAACTTGAATGTTCAGAAATGAGAGCCAGCTTCCTGAGGGCTTTTCCCGTGTCAGCTTTATGTGCTCCGATTGGGTGTTGAGGAGATCGAAACACATGTCCATTTGTTCTTGCGTCGAGCAGACCACGAAGCAGTCATCGATATAGCGTAAAGCATGGGGTGGCTTTCCTGATACAGGCGCTTCGATTTTAGACATGAAGGCTATAGCCAAGGTAGGCGCCAGTCGTTGCCCCATAGCTAAACCTCTAATCTGCTCGAAATACCTACCCGACCATCTGAAGATATTGCAATTAAGGCACTCCTTGAGCACCGTCATCAGCTGGGTGATAGAGAGCCCATGCATATTGATCTCGCTGTGGTGTTCATTTAGTAGCTCGAATACGGCTTCCATAGCGGAGTCATTGCTTACGTTGGTGTATAGGCTCTCTACGTCAAATGATTCTATGACGCAGGCACTGCTTGGTTGCAGTGCGTGAAGGTGGTCCAGAAACATTTGCGTGTTGGTGAGGTGGGATGGTATGTGTTCTAAGCAACTGCACTAGGATGACATTAAGAAACCATGCAATGCAATCGGTGGGACCACCCACGCAGCTGATGATAGGTCGAACCTTGACCGAGTGGGATCGATTGAAGCCAGGCTATCCATCGTTGTAAACTTGTGTGTTTTAATCAGCAGGTACAGGACGGGACAACACGGTTACTCGATTTTGAGGCGTGTTATCAGGGTGTGATCTAAACCCGCTGACTTGGCTAAAGTAGTCCACATTCGGTTCAGTATCATTCATCTCTGAGCAAGTTAGCATTTCCATAAGGAAGTGTCCGAGGAGGTCAGGTTTAGAAAACACAGTTGGCCATTTTAGATGTGCCACCCAATAATCTAAAGCATCGCCTCGTACGCAATCGGCTCTACGACCGCTCATGTACCACCCCTATTTGTGTGGTCTGTCCGATCGGGCGACTGCACAATCTCAGGGGTGGTCTATAAGATCACATGCAGCAGCTGCGGGGACGAGTACATGGTGAGACAGCGAGGCCACTCCATGTACGTATAAAGGAACACCTGGACGGCAAAAACAACTCCCGCCTGTCAACTGCCTTAGGGGCCCATAGGGTTCAAATCCATAACGGAGAGGATTTTGGGGTCACGGCCGAGGTCATGGCGCGCGAACCTCAGACCGCAGCGCAAAAAACCCTCGAGACATTTTGGATTCAGGAGGCATTTTGGATTCAGGTCACTGGTCCAAAAATGAATCGGAGGGAAGAATGTCTTACCAATATGCGGGAGCTGAGGCCTTATATA